GGTTTGAGTGCTGTCATAGTACTACAGTACGTGTCACTAAGTTTCATATAATAAAATTGCCTGTGTGCAAACTCCACACTGATGATGGCAGTAGACCCTGCCAGAACATGTTTGCTTCATGGGGCCTACAGTAGCATTGGCTAGGGCAAATACAAACTCATATCTATATTATGTTATGATTTTTTACACTCTTGATTTATAGTATTAAAAGTTTGATCTCTTTATGGTTATTTAACTACAGTACACTTGCATAGTATACAATATTTCTAAAACTCATACCCTTGTCATTTTTATTACTTTCTCGTTAACAATTCTTTAAAGAAATCTTAATCTAATTAACTTATTAATGAAATAATGATAAATTAGTAAAATTTTTTTTCAGTAGTTCTTTAATTAAAATTATGAGCATTGGAACAGCATAAAATATTTTTGACATTAGGATTATAGAACTCTTATAGAAGACTTACAATTCGCCAGTTTCTTTTGATGAAATTCTTGAAAGTGATCGAGGCAGACACCCTGATCACCATATCAAGGCTGTCCATATCGAGTAGGGTCAGCAAGAGTACTGGATAGTTCTGATTCCTTTCAACTGATTCAAGATTCTTCTCAGCTTCAAATACAAACAGTGTTTTATTTTATTATTCAACAGTTACTTACAAAAATACTTTTTTTATAGATCTTATCTTATTGGATTTTGACAACTTATTTTGTCCATTTATACGACCAGTTCAATATTGTTACATTTATTCGGACAAAATACTGTAAAACCTCAAATAGAAGCCCAATGGGCTTAATCTCGATAAGAAGCCCATCTCGAATTGAAGCCCCCTCTTTAGTTGACAAATGTAGCCTCAAAACATCTCGCAAAAAGAAGCCCTTGGCTTCTTTTAAAGATAGTTATCTTTTTGAGATAGTACAGTACATACACTGTACATGAATTTCAAAGAAACGGAACAAATTAAGAACGTGCTTGGTTTATACAGTAGTTTAGGTTCAAGATTAATGCTGGTTAATACACTCTATGGTAAAAATTGATGTTACAGTGGCCCTATTTATTGTTTTAGTAATAATTCCCAAAATTTACAGCATTCATTTTGAAAAGAAGCCCCCTTTAAATTGCAAAAGTAATCTCGAAAAAAAGCCCATCTCGAAGAGTAGCCCATCTAAAAAAAAACCTATAAAAAGATCGCAAAAAGAAAAGAAGCACAGGGCTTCTATTCGAGGTTTTATGTATCAAACTAAAATCGTATTCTAATTATTAATATAAACTTGATACTTATTCCTATGCATTGAAACTCAACTTGCCAAAATCATCGATCCCTCTGTTTCTTCATCTAACTACATCTCTATACTCACTTCCTTCGGCATTATTCCTTTTACTCGCGTCATTACTTTATGTTCTCTCGCTAAAATTACTCAATCGCCTGATCATCATCCCTTACATTCATTTCTTCCACCAACATGATCTTCCTCCATCATGTTACGCAATTCTCAACATTCTGCTTTTCTGCAATTCCATGCTTGAATTCTCACTTATTTTTTCCACTTTGCTTTGTGCCTTTCAAACGACCTCACTCTCGATCCCACCATGTCTCCTCTGACATCTCTTTTTATGTAGGCCATATAAGTATTAATTACCTCTTGTATATATTGTATTTATTGTTAATGTTTGGTGGATATATAGCTCCTGGTGGCTGATGAAGCAATAAAAAAACTTGAATTGAAATTGAACTTAATTATATGAGAGAGCATACGAGACATACAAAAACATGTAAAAGTAAGACAACAATATCCTACGACTTCCTTTTCACAATTAAAAAGGACAACACCAGGGCAAGACACAAAGACACATTTATTTTAAAAATACAGTTCTCTCTCTAATTAAAGACCCCTCCAATTAAAGACAACCTGTGCTTAAATATCAAAGCTGTTAAAGGCCATGAAACCCTGGTCCCAAAGGTGGCATTTAATTTGATGAAGACCCGTAGTTTTTTTGTTTTGTTTTGTTTTTTTTGGTATAAAATTGCAGTAAAAAAAAATTAAATAATTTCGAAAAAAATAATACTACCTAATAATAGTTTCATTATTTTTTTTATCAAATATGGACAAGGTGTTACTTGCAAGAGTGTTTTTGAACAAACAGAAAGCTATGGGAGGAGAGAGCCAAGTGGTTTCTTTATGTCTATTGGAAATATATTGGGAACAATTTATGACTGTTCCAAATAGGTCAAGAATGACACCTTTAGGTCAGACCAAGCTCATGCCTACAAGGGATTTCAAGACTATCTTCATGTTGATTATTTATCTCCTAATAAATCCACTTTCTTCCCATTCTTCATTAAAATTCCCAAATTTCTTCATTAAATTCCCAAATTTAAGTCTGATAAGTGGGTTTGGTATATTTACGTTTGTGTGTGTTTTTTTACTAGACTGTGCCCTGTTTTTTAAATGTCAAAATGAAGTAATTATATTCCCTAAGGTTGTTTCTCATAAAGATACACTCTATAAAATACACCTGCTATATATCATGATTATTGTATACCTGCTTTGCGTTCCTGTACATCTACAGCCAGTGTCTTTTGAAGCACACCAGCTAGTGCTGCCAGATTTTCTTCATTTACTTCCATTTTGTACCCTAGAAGAAAGGTATGAAAACCAAATAAAATACAGAATGTTGAAAGAAAACAAGCTCTACAATATTTGGAAACTAATTAAAGGTAGACTGACATTTTTTGGCTGGTGTTTTTGTTTTTATCATATATAATATATATATATCAGCAAGATGGATTTATCGGCTGGAGTGAACTAGCTCGGCCGCGATGTACAACATCCAGATCAGGAAATTAAAGTGTGTTTTGTTTGTCTTCAAATATACAATATCCTTACTATTTAGAAATACATAGGTTTATCAATCAGTTGCCAGAGAATTTTAAGTTTGTTTACGACTCAATGTCTGCAAATTTGGGCAGGACAGAGGGTCTAACTTTAGCCCACCACAGCCCCACCGTGAAGAAGATTTATGATTATGGCACCTCTAGATGGTCGCAAATGGCCCTCTCAAACTTGCTGTAAACTTGAATATACATAGTAATTTTATTTTCTATAATTTTGAAATATTTAGGAGGCACGGGCCAGCTTCCCCGCCCACTTAATCCACCACTGATCTGGTTAATAACCTTTCTTAACACATTTAATTATATTTTGCTACACATAGTGATACTCATCAACACTGACATCCGTGAGAAAATTGATAATAAAGCATTGAAAACATGCAAAATTATGAATTTGCAGAGATCGGTTAATTTCTGAGAGATTCTTACTTGCTTGCGGGAGTGCGGGAGACTGTCCTGAGTTTCGGGAGACTTGGGACCCCTACTGAGATAATATACAACGTAGGCGCTGGATGTAAAAAGTGGATGCTCATGCGCGAGACTCGCACATTATGCGCCAGAGTCTCAGCTGGCAGGTGTACAACGTTGAAACTATTTATTGCGAAAGTACTTTCATTAGCTTTTAAACAGATGCGATCTGGAACACTAAACCATCAAGTCCCCATCACCTCCTCCATGAGGGAGCTGATGGGGACTTCTTGATGGGCGCTGGGTTGCAAAATAGGGTGATATATTGGGGCGATTTTTTAACTACCTGAGCACGACTTTTTGCTTCGGAGATTCTCAATTGGGGTGGGAGGGAACTGGGGTACAAGCTTTTTTTTTGTGCGACAGGTTGGAACAAACTTGAAATTTACCACATGGGGGCCATACTGTTAAGTTATTTAATTGTGCGGATGACACTTCAAAAACTATATCAACATATGCCATTGAGGTTGAGAGAAGTGACAACTTGAGATATTGCACGGAAGGGAATACAATAGTACATACATGCGGGCCTGTCCTACAGTAGTATTACCAGTATTTATAAAGATCTTTTTTTGCGATGAGCAGCGTGAAAAGTGGGAGAATGTGTGTGACTGGAGGGAGGGCTTCAGCTGGGGTGCCCTTTCCGATGCTGGAGACTTGGTAGGTAGTTTTGTATTACATTTACGTGGGAAATCGCCAGGAAATTTGGTGGGCAGAATCGTAATTACTGCATAAAATCAGAGGGCAAAAAAAAAAAAAAAGTAAAATTTGTTTTTTTATTTAGCAAATAGTTTTACCAAAAACATCCAGACGGAGGAGAAAATGAAAATAATATTTTGAGTGAATGTAAACATTACATAGTAAAATGTTTTTAATTTATATTGAATTAGGAATAAATATACATGTTTATGTTTCAAGATTTCAAGGCAGAGACAGGTGTAATAAAAATAAAGAAAAACTTTTTTTTACTGAAAATTTCATATTTTCGTGGCAGCAAGTACGCTAATTGGCGAAATATAAAATTTCATTTTTATTTGAAATCATGATTATTGGCTGGCGGCGGGTTCAAAGGTCTAAAAAAAGTTGCATTTTTATATAAAAAATACTTAGGTTAAAGTTTAATTTTGGGCAAAATCTGTACAGAAATCGGCCCTTAATTCCCGAAATGCGTGGTTGATTTCTGAGGCCAATTTTTTGCCCGGAGGCTGGGAGGAGGGCCGATATATTTCCTGCACAGGTAGGCACCACACGATGCATGACGTCACACACTTTAACTACTGTCATTAACCCAGTTCAGCCAAGCGTGTTTTTGTCAACAAAGGCCTTAAGAAAATATTCATATAAAATGCTTTTTGATTGGTTGAGACGTTTTCATCAGGTCACTCAGGGGTCGAAGTAGTACACCATTTTGATTTTTTCCGAAATCGGAAGAATAATGACTAGGCCTAGTGGCCTAGGCTAGGGTAGTACTAGTAGTAGGCCTAGGCTAGTTGTAGGTTGTCCGAATTACATATCAACATACTAAACTAGGCCTGGTACCGAATTAACAAAATTAATATAATTATTCCATGGTCCTTAGCCTTCGGAGAGTAAAACGAATTCAACTCCTATCTCGCTTGCTGTAGTCGAGCTGGCGAGAAAGATAGGCCTAGGCTAGCTAGACGCAGTCGGGCTGGCGGCCGGTAGGTCACCATTGTTGTTAGAGGCAATCAGTGCGACAAGCATCATAATGATTCGTTGTCGGCGTATTTTACGAAGCCTCGTGATTTTTCTACATCAGACATGTGAAATTTAGCAAGATTTCTTTTGATTTTAGGTCTAGGCCTATTAACAAATGGTAGTAATGTTCATACGTTTTCCATCGCTGTCGCAATTCGTTCGAACTAAAAAAAAACAAAAAAAACACAGCCCGCGAAAAGGTCAAAATAGGGACATGATGCATGCGCAACAACAACTCGGAAGATTTCGGGAAAAAAACAGGCCTCGTGATGGTCTGTTTTTGTTCCGAGATAACTCGGGGTACCCCTGTGAAATCTCAGAAAGTTTTACAAGAATTTGCTTTCATACTCATCCAAACCTGGTTACAACTTGTTACAAGTTGTTAATATTTGCAAAATAGCATCAGTGTGAAATGGGTATTAATGATACTTAAAGTATTAAAATATACTTTTAGCTAATGATTATCTAAAAAAATAGTTAAATATTATAATTATTATATTTAAGGATTGAAGTGGATATTAAACATAGGATGATTTCGAGAGAATTGTGAGACGATGCTAGTTTTTGTTGCAAGAGGATGACGTCATGCGTAAAGTTTTTTGTGCTTTTTTTTTTTTTTTTATATTCAACTTTGTATTTATCATGTGGGATTATGACCAGTTGAGCCGCCGGTCATTTCTATGGAACGCCAAGCGCGTCTCTCAGTGAATGTAGTGCGTTAATTACGGCGTATTTCAATTAACTTATTCGTTCTTGGTACTGTTGTTTGGGATGTATTTCAGTTTATTTATCTCTTATACACATCTAGATGTGTATAAGAGACAGACATAACATTTTACAACATTTCAACAGTGAT